ATGTACCCCCAACTCAAATGACGGAAAAGACCAACTCATGCATGAATCTAAGACATGGTCATGGTGATGTATACTCAAAGTGTGTGCCAAGACTAGTGAGTGTAAGTGACATGTTGAGACTTTTGTCATGACCATGTGGCTAGACTATGTGACCAAGACTCGATTAATGACTCGACACGGTGTTATTGACAGCGAAAATTAACCGAATTAATTAGCAAACTGGTTAATTAGACCCTAGGTGATGACTCGACAAATAATCCGAACTTTCGGCCAAGCGACAGGACTGGCGTCACACTATGGTGGTTGGCGCCAAACAATTTAGAAAATGTCTGGCGCTACACACTATACAGTGGCGCTACAGCTCAGACTTTGGCGCCAATATTGGAGCTTTGGTCTGGGACTGTTTTCGGTATTATTAGTCAACTGGGGTATGCCTAAAGTCGTACTAGGTCAATTCCGATTAAAAAAAAACTTTATTGACTAAAATTAATTAATTAAATAATTAATTAGGCAAAGTTCATAAAGTCATCAATTTTAGTCTCAACACAAATCAACAAACGGTTAAGAGAAACATAAAATATATATGCACAACAAATAATGCACAATTAGTCAAGTAGGCACAATATGATGCAATGAGTTCGCAACCTAACCATGGCTCTAGTTCTCTAAAGTTCGGGATATGGTTTAGTCAATAGAGGGTCCATGGTTAATTGTCTGGATGCACCGCGCAGAAGCCTAACCGTGAAGGGTTAACGCGTGTGGATGGGACACCGCGAGTTTTTAGAAAAAACTCACTTCCATGGTTTGGTGAATTCAACCTCTCAGAAGTACCATTTGTTGCCAGGAGCGTTCAATCGGGTAGATAGAGCATGAATTCCCAGAGGGTTATGTCCATATGTAGAACACATATGGGTTTCAGAAAAGTGAGAAAAAATTCAATCAGGAAGCAGGATCGAGCAAACAATACCAAAAACCGGTCGAAATTAGAACGCATATTTCTGGCTCGGTATTGGGGGAAATTGGCGCCAGCAAACAGAGACTAGCGCCAACTTTTAACTGTAGCGCCTGACGCCAATACTGGCGTCTGGCGCTACGGCTAAAAGTTTGGCGCCAAGCTCTGGCCCCTGACGTTACTTCCCACATGCCTCAGCAGCTTTCTGTGCTCAATAAAATCATCCAGTTTCGCGCGGTGTTATTTTAGTCCTAGTTGTGAAAGACATTTCTCAAATTTTCTACGTGTAAAATCCTATGTTTTTGACTCATTACGGATGGTCTTTCCAATGAGAACCTTTTTATGCATATGACAATAATGTTAATCAAAATTACGCACATGAAATACTTAGAACTTTTCGAGTCTCATCCACTCATTTTAAATCATTGCCGAAACAAATTCAGGAATTAAAATAGAAATCCTCCCCATCGGAGTCGCCAAAAACTGTAGGGAATAGTTTCAAGCCTTTAAAATCCCACTAGCTTGAACCCCACTGTAATCATACACTAAAGTACGGTGGCGTCCAAAAGGGAAGAAGATAGAGCAAAAGAGTCGCCAACAAGTTTTTAAGGAACTTGTAAACCGTTCACGAGGTGAAGGTTACACCCTTTAACGATCCAAGAGATCGTCAACTCCATAAGAGCATTGCCACCAATGGGGAGAAAAATGTCCATGGGTAGTTTTTGGGGTTTAATAAAAAAAAAAAAAACTCCCCATCAATGGTCTAAATTAAAAATGCCCATGGGCAAATCAATTTTTGATCAAAGTTTGGGAAAAATTAAAAAACTGACCAAGAAAAAGTGGGCCCCACGTGCATAGCTGCATTTTAATTTTTTTTTGCTAAGCTTACCTCAAAACGCAGCGTTTTGAGGAAGCGTATGCTTTGCTTCACCTCAAAACGCTGCGTTTTGAGGGTCGAAAAAGCAAAAGAAAATTATATTGGCAGCCCTGACAGGCGCATCAGCATGTCCAATCAGGCGCTGACACGCGTCCTGTCAGGTGAGTTGGACCAATCAGGAAATTCCTGAAAATTGCAACGGTAACAATTTTGTAACGGGTATTTTGTGCTTATAAAATTAAAAAAAAAAAAATTTACCAACGGCTAGAAAAAAAAATTCTCTACAAATAGAGACCCATTTTGCCTATATTTTCATATTTTCAAAATTCACATAAATTTGTTGTATTTACATTTTCTCTCAATTTCTCCCTCATAATTAGTCATCCTTTTAATATTAGTATTAATATTATTATTATTATTATTAAAATAAATATTATTATTATTATTGTTATTATTATTATTATTGTTATTATTATTATTATTATTATTATTGGAAGTATAATTATTATTGTTATTATTTTAGCTTATTAATATTATTATTGTTGTTCGTTATTATTTTTGTTATTAATATTATTATTATTATTTTTATAATAGTTATTGTTATTATTGTGTTAGTTTTTGAAATTAATCAAAAAAAAATAGATATGGATCCCAATAACCCCTTTTACTCAATAATTTCTCAAAATTGTAATGATTTTGATGAGAATTTCATGAATCAACCTCAATTTCAACTTTTCCTACAAAGATTGAGCAACACCTCTCTGCAAAATCCTCCACAACAACAAATACCTCCACAACTTGAAATACCTCCACAAATTCCAACTGAAAACACTGATTACGAGCAATCACCTCCTGTCTACCAAGGAAGTAACTCTCAGTACGATGACAGACAAGAAGAAAATGTGCCTGAGACACCTCAATACCATCCGTCGACTCAAAGAATGCGGGTGGGTTCCAACCAACAACTCGCTAAAGCTAGTCGTATTTGGTCAGTCGCAGAAGATGAAGCTCTTATTGGGCTATATTTAAAATACAGTGGAAATGCGATAGTGGGTATGGGCATGAAAGCAGCTGAACTTTGGCGACAAATATTTGCGGCGTACGACATGGTTCAAGCTAAGAAGCCAGAAATACTACCACCCAGAAATGCGAAGAGTTTGGAGAACCGTTGGAGAAGGATGGCGGCAGATGTACTGTTATGGACAAGTTGTTATGATGAAGCGGGTCCGTTAACTGGAAGTGGATTCAACGAAGTTGATCGAATTCAAAAGGCCTCGAAGTTTTTCCATATATTAGCCAAACCACCACACAATTTTGTTTTTCCCCACGCTTGGGAAATGATAAAGAATGACCCAAAGTGGAGGCCGAAACTCAGATGGGCATTGTCACTAAAGGAACGACAGGATTGTCAACTGCGTCCGGAAGGGGACACCGAGGATAGCAGTGGAAGTGAAAAGAGATCGAGAACTGACAGTGAAGCTGAAGGAGATGTTCCCATTGGTGGGTTTTCATCAGGAGGTATACCCAGACCCGACGGGGTAAAAAAAGCAAAGGCTAAGCGTAAGGGAAAAGCTATTGCTCATGATAGTGCAATTTTAAGTATTGGTTAACAGATACAGGCTTGTACTGAAGTTACAAGCTTTGAGGCAAATTTACGGCAGCAAAGGTTGGAGCTTGAAAGGGAAAAGGAAAAGAGGAAAAACAAACAGGTCGAATTACAAGAGAAGAAGATGAAATTTGATATGTTGCAAGCAATTATGTCCAAAACGACGACACTTACACCAACTGAAGAAGCGTGGAAGGAGGAACTAATTCAAGAAGTGTATGGTGGAAAGTAGAGTAGTTTATTATGCATTATGATTTCAAGTATTTTGTTTATTTTATGTTGCAATGAATTAATTTTTATTATTAATTATGTTCCAAAAATTTATCAAATTATATTACATTTTCATATATTTTGTTCAATTATGAGTGAAGTACTAGCTTATGTGTGTAGATTTTGTCTTATACAATTATGAGTCAAGTGGTTGGTTTTATCAACCATTGAACTGTCAAATCCCAAAAAGTAGTCAAGTCCAATTGTAGTTTTTGTTTTATACAACCATTGAGTAGTCATTTCATACATAACTTCAACCGTATGACAAGCATTGGTATTGATTATTAAGAATTGAGTAGTCATGTATTTTGTTTTTACTATACATTGAGTAGTCAGTTCACACTCAGTTGAAGGACATGCACTGATAACATTTCCTATTTAAAGGTGTGAAATCCATAAATTGATCCACAACACCAAAACATTCAAAAACCAAACACAAAAAATGTTTTCCATAAGCTCAACCTCAAGCTCAAATTCTTCTGATTCAGATCAATATGCGGAATTTGATAATCTAGTTGACGAATTTGTCACAAATCACTTACCTAACATAATGCTTCCTCAACCACCTCCATCCGAGACCGAAATTGTAAATGAAGATGAAACAGTCCCGCAGCATAGGGGAGATAGAGAAAGGGCATTTGCAATTGTACAATTATTACTTTGCAATAAATCCTGTGTATTCCGAAAATCAGTTTCGTCGTCGATTTCGAATGCACAAACCTTTATTCTGTCTGATTATGAATAAAGTGGTTGAGGGCGATCCGTTCTTCCAGTAGCGTAGGAATGCAGCTGGTAGGCTTGGCTTATCACCGCTGCAGAAATGCACCGCTGCAATAAGAATGTTAGCGTACGGTGTTGCTCCGGATGCCGTAGATGAATACATACGCATGGGTCAAACAACATCTAGAAAATCAATGCAACATTTTACTCAAGGGGTGATCAAGCATTTTGAGGCCGAGTACTTAAGAAGTCCAACAGATGAAGATTTAAGGAGAATCCTTCACCAAAATGAAATGCGTGGATTCCCGGGCATGATCGGTAGCATCGACTGCATGCACTGGGAGTGGAAGAACTGTCCTATGGCTTGGAAAGCACAATACGCAGGTCATAGCAAGAATGCAACCCTTATCCTCGAAGCTGTTGCGGATCAAGATTTATGGATTTGACATACATTTTTTGGAATACCCGGCTCTTGTAATGATCTTAACGTCCTATACCGCTCTCCGGTGTTTGACGATGTTTTGAAAGGTCGGGCACCACCAATTAGTTTTATGGTAAACGGCCATGAGTACAACATGGGATACTACTTAACAAATGGTATATATCCGAACTGGGCAACATTTATACAAGGTATCACATATCCTCAACTCCAGAAGGACAAGTTATTTGCAGATAAACAAGCTGCAGCTCGGAAAGACGTTGAACGTGCGTTTGGAGTTCTACAGGCTAGGTTTGCCATATTACGACAACCCTCACTTGCTTTCGACGAAGACATTTTGAGCGACATAATGAAAGCTTGTATCATTATGCACAACATGATTGTCGAGGATGAACGACACAATTACACTCGTGCCAAAGTTTTGAGAAGGTATTACGAAGAAGATCGCCCTCAGCTTCATAGAGCAAGGTCCGGTCCGAGTACAAGTGCCACAGTGAATAACAACGAGCCTTTCGAATTTGACGTTGGCCGACCACCAAACGTTGATTTTGACGCGTATATTCAAAGAAGAATTACCCTGCGTGATAGCCAAACCCATTTTTCTTTGAAAGATGATTTAGTTGAGCATATTTGGCAAAAATACGGTCGTAATGAATAAATAGTTTTGTAATCGTTAATTTATTTGGTTTGTATGATAGGTGTACGATCATTATGTTCCAATGTTGTAATTGTTAATGTTGTACTAATGAAAAATGAAATTTCGCATAAAATAATGACACAAATAATTAATATTGTACTCATAAATAATTTAATCAATAAAAAAATTTAGTTAAGAATAAATATTATTATTTTATTAAAAAATACATTTTGCAAAAATTAATATTAAAAATAATTAATATTGTACTACTCATAAATAATTTAATCAATACAAAATTTTGTTAACAATAAAATTAAGAAATACTAAATTACAAATTTAATGATGTGTAGGAGAGATAAATATTGGTGGGGTATATGGTTAAAAATAGGAGAGAGAATGGTGGGGATTATAATTTTTGACCATTGGTGTAGAATAAAAATGACCAAGAAAATGCCCATGGGGAGGAGGAGTGAGAAAGTGGTTAGAGAGAGATTGGGCAACCAAAAAAATGTCCATTAGTGGCAATGCTCTAAGGTCATGAACCAAATAAGGGTTCGGGGATGATGGTACAAATCCAACCTAAAAGAGATTGAACCTGCCCTAATAATAGGCCTCTACTTTATTCTGCTCGTATTCATGTGCGCTTTTTGATTAACATGCAATCAATAGGATTAACCCTAAACCTGTTTAATCTATGTTGGTTGAATTTAATGCACAAATAAACTATTATTGGCGATCACTTGAATTATAATCAAAGTTAACCTAAACAAGATTATTAATTATCTTATTAAGCGTGATTGCAAGTACCAATTCCCTTTAACATGCAATAAAAGTGATCAAGCAATAAATAATAAGCATCAAGCAACATAATAAATAATCAACATCATTAATAACAAAATTATAATTGAAATAATCATGATAATAATCATAAAAGAAAATAATCATTATATTAATAATAATTGAAATAATTATCATAAATAAAATAATCATCAAAATAATAATATTCGTAATCATTATAACAATTATAATCATAATCATATTCATGTTAATATTAAAGCATAATAAAAATAGCAAGATCCTAGGCATGATACTAACAAGGTTAATAACAAATCCTAACATGTCACTAAGCAATAAAAATCAAATCTTTAACCCTAACATGATACTAACATGAATTAATATTAGGAAGAACATAGGAAGCATCGTAACAATCATATTTAATATTAAAATAAACCTAGACATGATACTAGGAATATCATAATAATCTAAGCATGATTTCTACATCATAATATCAATAAAATCTATTAAAGTACTTACTTGGATGCCTCGTACCTCTTTCTTATAACAAAATACACACGGTAGTAACTTCAAGGAAAATAATAAACAAACAATTAAATTAAATAATTGAAAGAGAGATTAGGGACCAAACCCTCAGAAATTAAAACCTTTCACGTCTAGGGCGAAGGCAACTTCGAATATGGCTAGGTGTTTCTAGATCTTGTGAATGCGGAATTTTGTATTAAAAAGCAAGAAAGAATTGAATGCTAAAGAATTAATGTTTATTGAGAATTGATGAATGATAAATGAAAACTTGTGAATGAAGAGAGTTGATGAATGGTAATTGATGATAATCGGTGAATGATGATTGTAGATGATGAAGATAGTCGGTGAATACTTAAGGATGAGGAGAATTGGTGAATGAAAACAGAGTTTTTGATACGATATTTATAGAGAAAATCAGCCAAAAAAAGATAATTTAACAAAACAAAGACTGAAGATCGAAAATCGACATTAGCGCCAGGACCAGTGGCTAGCTTCAGGCGCCAATGGATAGCACCTGGCGCCAATCCTGGTTCCAGGCGCCAAGGCCTGAGGTTGGACGCCAAACTGATTTTCAATGCGTTTTCGAAAATCTGATAAATTTCCCGTACTGGAAGATAAAATAATATAATTCCATCGAAAATGCTATTTGATCTTAATTAAAACTCTAAAAAGTCCTAATTGAAATTAAGAATGAAAAGGACCTTCTAGAATGTTCTAGAATACTAAAACCATTCCTAATTGCATTAGGAATGATAAATTATATTAGGCCCTCCCCTAGATCATTGGACCGTACATAAAGCTCAAACCGGACCCAGTTTAGTAAATTGACCATAATTTCCACAATATTCATCGGAATTGGGCTTATAATATATCGTTGGAAAGGTCTTTGCAAGCCCCATCCAACTACACCACTATTGGACCCATATCATGGACCAACCAAACTGTATTGACTGTTTTCTTAAAATAAAGTTTTCAAAAACAGAAGAAGAGAAAAAGAAATAAAAACTTTCCGCAACACTAAACCTTTCCACACTTCGTTTCATTCGATTATGATTCGACGTGAAAGGCACTCATCACCGGGTTTGGTTTTGGGGAGACACAAATGGGTGTCTACAGTTTGTGGGTCATAGTAGTAGCAAATTTAATTCATGTGATGTATGCCCTCGGGCAAACCAACATAGGAGTAGCTTTCCTTTGAGTCAAAATAAAGCTAGTCGTATTTTCGAACTAGTTCATTTAGATTTGTGGGGGCCTTACAAGACTCCATCGTCTTGTGGAGCTCACTATTTTTTTACTATCGTAGATGATTTTTCTAGAGGTGTGTGGACCTATTTAATAAATAATAAAACGAAAGTTGAATATATGTTTCATAATTTTGTGGCTATTGTTCGATGTCAATTTTCTCAAGAAATTAAAGTGGTTCGTAGTGATAATGGTACGAAATTCAATTCCTTGAAAGAGTATTTTTTTTTTACAATGGGATTTATTTTGAGACCTCATGTGTGGGCACGCCTCAACAAAATGGGTGTGTTGAGAGAAAACATCAACATATTTTGAATGTTGCTAGAGCTTTACGATTTCAAGCAAATTTGCCTTTAAAATTTTGGGGTGAGTGTGTGCAAGCGGCATGTCATTTAATTAATAGAACTCCCTCTAGATTGCTTGATTATAAAACTCCTTGTGATGTGTTATTTGGAAAACCACCTTCATATGAGTATATTAGGGTGTTTGGATGCTTGTGTTATGCGTATAATTTAAAGAGTAAGGGTGATATATTTTCTAGTCGTAGTCAGAAATGTGTATTCCTAGGATACCCATTCGGGAAAAAGGGATGGAAGGTGTACGACTTAGAAACTCGTGAAATTTTTGTGTCGAGGGATGTCAAATTTTGTGAAACCGAATTTTCATTTTTTTGGGCCTAGTGAAGATGCCAAAATGGTGAGTGTAAGTAATGGAGATGATGGGATCAGTGATGATGAATGGTGTGTGGAGTTGGCAGGTGAGTGTGTGCGTGAAGGAGAGTGTGATGCGGGGGTGCAGGGGGAGTGTGATGCGGGGGTAGAGAGGGAGGCAGAATACTCCGCAACCCACCTGCGGCAAGCAGACCCAAACCGCAGGCAGCCCGCGGAGGAGTTTGCCAGGCCCCTTGACCAGCCTGCTACTTCTCTTGCGGGTGCTGGGCTTGCTGGCGAGCCTGGAAACACACATGAGGGCACACAACAGCAGCATATAGACGCTCAGAGTGGGCAGTGTGAGTTGAGCAGCAATGCAACAACAGATAGTAATGCTACAAGGGACACCGAGGCCTTGGGTAAAGGCATGAGACCGAAGATTCCGAATGTGAAGCTCCGTGACTATGTGACACACACAATCCGAAATTTAAGTTCATCTACATCATCTCAAAGTTCACTTGTGACATCGTTTTCCTCAGGTACTGTTTACCCTATAACACATTTTATTGATTCTCACCGATTTTCTATGAAGCACAGAACATATATTGCAACTATAACAGGAGGAAATGAACCTAAAAGTTTTAAGGAGGTCATGAAAAACGAGGGTTGGAGGAAGGAAATGGAAGATGAGATACAGGCTCTAGAAGAACGGGGTACTTGGGTGCTAGAAAAACTACCACATGGTAAAAAGGCTCTCGGGAGTAAGTGGGTGTACAAAGAAAAATATGATGAGAATGGAAATTTGCAAAGATTAAAGGCGAGGCTTGTTATCTTTGGAAACCATCAGGTTGAAGGTCTAGATTATAACGAGACGTTTGCTCCGGTAACAAAAATGGTGACAGTCCGGACCTTTCTTGCAGTAGCGGCGGTGAAAAATTGGGAAGTTTATCAAATGGACGTTCACAATGCCTTTCTTCATGGCGATTTGGAGGAATAGGTATACATGAAAATTCCCCCTGGTTTTGAGAAAAATAATTCTGACAAGGTTTGCAGGATGCAGAAATCATTGTACGTGCTTAAATAAGCTCTGAAATGCTGGTTTGCAAAGCTAGCTACAGCTTTGAAGAAATATGGCTTTAAACAGTCATATTATGATTATTCTTTATTTACCCTGACAAAGGGCAAAATGTAGCTAAATGTGTTAGTATATGTGGATGATTTGATTGTTGCAGGCAATGATAAAACTGCTATGCTCAATTTTAAATCATATATGGGAAATTGTTTCAAGATGAAAGATCTCGAATTGTTGAAATATTTTTTTGGGGCTAGAGGTAGCCCGGAATAAGCAGGGAATTTTTATTTGCCAGAGGAAGTATGTGTTAGATATCATTACTGAGGCGGGTTTACTAGATGCTAAACCTGCAGAGTTTCCTATGGAGCAAAATCACAAGTTGGCTTTGGCTCAGGGAGAATTTTTTAAAGATGTAGAGAAATATCGTCGTCTCATAGGCCGACTGATTTATTTAGCTATTACAAGATCGGATTTAGCATATTTTGTTCATATCTTATCACAGTTTATGCAAAAACCCAGGATTGATCATTGGGAAGCAGCTCTGCGAGTTGTTAGATATTTGAAGAAGAGCCCGGGACAGAGAATTTTGTTGAGATCAGACAGTGCTTTACAGTTGGAAAGGTTGGTGTGATTCTGATTAGGCAGGTTGCCCTCTCTCCAGGCGATCCTTGAGTGGTTGGTTTGTGCTTCTTGACTTGTTTCCTGTGTCATGGAAAACCAAGAAGCAGCCTACTGTTTCTCTTTCTTCATCAGAAGCCGAATATCGTTGTATGAATGCAACGACTTGTGAATTAAAGTGGTTGAAGCGACTTCTTGGTGACTTAGGTGTTAAACATGAGAATGGAATGCACCTTTATTGTGATAGTCAGTCTGCGTTATATATTGCGCAGAATCCCGTATTTCATGAGCGAACAAAACATATTGAGTCAGATTGTCATTTTGTTCGAGATGCGATTACGGATGGTACAATTATTCCCTCATATGTTCCTACAACGGTTCAGTTGGCTGACATTTTTACGAAGGCTTTGGGAAAAGCTAAATTTGAGTTCTTACTCCGCAAGTTGGGTGTTCTAGATCCGTACTCTCCAACTTGAGGTGGGTATTAGGAAAGATAATATTTGGGAATATTGTGATAATATTGTGAATAGATATTTTAGGAGATCTTGTGTTTATCTTGGGAATATTTTGGCCTTGCCCTCCAAGTTCCCTATTCTATATATTATTGTACATGGAAATTCATATTGATTGAGAAATACAGAGAAACACTTTGTGATTATTTTATCAATATGGAATGTGATTGTTAAATTGGAAAGAAATATCATAGGGTGATTTTGAAAAAAAAAAAGATGGGGAAGCGTAAAAGGCGGGAAATTTTTTTTACAAGATAATGATAAGTGGACATGGAAAGATTTGCATTTAATATAGATTAATAGATAGATGTCAATTTAACCTGATGCGGGCAACACTTTTGAAAATTGGGGGGTAGGGGAGAAGAGGCTGTGCAAGGGAATCCCACCCCCAATGGGCCAACTTAGCACTAGCAGGGATTTTTTTTTTTTTTTTTTTTTTTTATGTGTGTGTGAAAAATAGAAAAGTATATCATGCATTGGTACAAATATTACTGGAAAAGCGTCCTTTATATATATATATATATATATATATATATATATATATATATATATATATATATATATATATATATATATATATATTATAATCTGCAATGATATTAAGTGTCTCCAGCATTGCTTCAGTGGTAAGGGAATTGGGTGGGTGAATTATGTGTCTTCATGTCTTCAAGAAGTTCAGGGTTCGAGACCCCATAGCATAATTTTATTTATTTATTTATTTATTTTCTTTGTACCCAAATGAATTTCCACTTTCCTCCTATTTAATTAACAAAAGGATAGGGTATTACTATCTTTTCATGATAAATTTCTTTCTTCCGTTTTCACACTTTTTATAAACAATCCTTATTAATATGAAATACTCTCTCTGTTATATTTTATTAATTCTTCTCATTTTCATTACATAATATTTATTGCATTTATTTGGCCATTATTAAATCTTGTTTATAATCGTGTGAAAATTTACACTGAAATAAATATAAAAAATCATACTCCAACTGTGTTTAAATAAATGAAACGTTTTGACTTTTTGTACAATTCATCTAATTCACTTTAGCTAATATTTGTGATTTATACATAACAATAAATATAGTCATGTGGTTACTTGTTGGAATCGTCAAATTTATTACTATAACATTCAATTGTTATAAGTTTAATTATTGAAGATATATATTTTTCAGTCAAAGTTTTACATTAGCATATGTGCTATATGTGCACAAGGAAAAATTTATACCAAAGTTTTTGGTATAAATTCATATGCAACTTTGACATATTAAAAAATAAACAGGTGGAAAGTTTATAATAGTATAATTGATATCTACAATATAATTGAATTATTTGTAAAAAAAATAAAAATAATAAAAAAAAAAACCTTGTCAATATAAATGTTTGAATTTGATTGTTAATTATTATACGACTACACAACGCATTATATTCATGTTTGGCAGATTAATTATGTTACGTTACAACAATGCTATACTTTTTCTTTTTATTATTGTCTAGTGCTACCCCTAGTTCGGATTCCTGGATCCGCCACTGAGTATAATAGTGTTGAATATTACAAAATATAGTGTAAAACAACATGAAGTTCACATGATCGAGCTTATACCCAATACAATATTGTGTATCTATTACGAGTATAATAGTGTTGAATATTACAAAGTACGAGTATAATAGTGTTGAATATTACAAAATATAGTGTAAAACAACATGAAGTTCACATAATCCAGCTTATACCCAATACAATATTGTGTATCTATTACCAGTATAATAGTGTTGAATATTACAAAGTACGAGTATAATAGTGTTGAATTTTACTAAATATAGTGTACAAAAATACAACTTCTCTAGGTCTATTTGTATTTCCTTTTACTATAAAAAAATAGTTATTTATTTATTTATTTATTTAAAGTGAATAGACAAAACAATAAATTAAAAATGAAATGGCTTCGCCCAGGCTCGAACTGGGGACCTTCAGTGTGTTAGACTGACGTGATAACCAACTACACCACGAAACCAACTTGTTAACCATTGCACATAATAATACAATATAAAGTATTAAATTTTAAACATGTATCCAAATAAGAGCAGCTACGCACGAATGTATATTCTTTGGTCCCACTTGGCCCACTACAATGCCTTATTAATATAATCATCACTCGACATTCACATTCATTTATGTTTTTTTGACATAAAACATGTTTATATGTTTGAATTATTGATTAATGTGAGGACCATTAACATTTAAATAAAATTCTTTAAGATTATTGTCTCACATCTCACAACTTATATTATAATTAGATACACTTGCTTTTATTTTATGGTAATGCAATAGTATTAAAGATCTAAGAATGTGTAGTAAATTATAATTATTGGGTCTCCATTCCTTAATATACATATAATCTGCATGATCTCATTCAATCACAATTTAGGGATATTTTATTTGTATAAAAAACATAACCCATTATTTCTGACCAAGATCAATGGTAGGTGCGACTTAATTAACTAGCTGTGAGCTATGCTTTTTGGTCATGTATGTTGGGGAGGTTTGAATACCATCTCCTTAATTAAAATGGTCGCGTAGATGTAGCTTAGCTTTGTAAGCCATGTAATTTAGTAATTCAATCTAGATCAACTATCCGGTTTTGTAACTCTTGTTCGAAAACATGCGTTTAACAGATATATTGCATCAATTTGCATGTAACGCAAATTGAAGATATGAGCACATATTAGAAAAACTCAATATTTAATCTTTTAAAAAAAAAATACTACTTTCATTTCATATTATTTACAACGATTAGACATTTTTCCTCTCTTTTAATTTTTTGTCAAATTTTAGCAAATAATGTAAAAAGGAGGTAGTAGAAAAAGTGTACACGAAGATCAGAGAATTCTTTTCTCAAAATTAAACTCTACCTTATTGATCAAAACTCAATGAAGCAAGCATAAACTACAACATGTGAACACGACATTTATACTAAGGACATGTTCATATTTAATGAACTGAACTGGACTGATTAGAGTCGAACTAAATTGAACTGAACTGAATGAAGCTGAAATGAATATTTTATGAGAGAAGGAAATTGGAAGCTAAACTGAATTGAATTGAACGTCTAAACTCATTGAAGATTTGGAGCTGAGTTGAACTGAAATTAAGTTGAAGTGAACAGGCCCTAAGTAGAAGAATTTCATGACACAATTTTCCTCCAAACATTCACACTAACTAGATGAAGCCCGTGCGATACACGGGTTGTTTAAATTTTATAAGATAATTTTTTTGCATAAATATTTATGGCTAAAATTTGTTATATATTTAGATAAAATTCCTGATATTAAAAGATAATATTTTTTATTTAATTAATTTAAACTGGAAAATCTCTTCGCCCATTTTGCTTGCGTGTCATTAAAAAATAAATTTTCACATTTGCTACCACCGAAAGCACCCTACTTCACATTTACTACCGCTTTAATTTTTTATTTTATTTTACAACTACATAAATTAGACTTTGTTAAAAAAATAACAACCATTTAACGGAATCCGTTAAGGTTCCGTGTTAAATGGGCCCCAATATTTTATTAAATAATAATTTAATTTATTTTATAAAAAAAAAACTTAAAAAACCAAAACCCCCAGCCACCAAATTCACCAAACTACCACCTCCCCCCTCCCCTTTCCGACACCCAAATGTTCCCTTGACGCCGGCGAACTCTATAGTCTATACCACCACCACCAACACCACCGTAACACCCAAACCCAGAAACTCCCCATACTACCACCACGACACCACCTTAACTCCCAAACCCAGACCACCACCGAAAGCCCTATACCCAGAACACCACCACCCACAAACCACACCTCCCTTGTCTCACCACCACGCACAACACCACCGCGGCAGTAGCAATTTGCGGCAGTAGCAAATCGAGGCAGCAGCAATGCTATTGCGGCAGCAGCTAATCGAGGCAGCAATTTGCGGTAGCAGCAACAGCAATTACGGCCAATCGCAACAACCACCCTAAAACGGTGGAAATCAGAGGAAAGAGAGAGTGTGGGGTTGTCTACGGCAGTTTAAGGTGGCAATTGCGGCCAATCGCAACCAACACCACCCTAAAAACGAAACCATAAAACCCGTTTAGGGCGGTTTTAAGGGTGGTGTTTAGGTTCAGAGTTGGTTTTTTGGTGGTGGGGGGGGGCATGGGATCGGGGCTAGAAAGGGGCTGCTGGTGGAGTTTGCGACGGAAAGGAGCTGTTGGTGGAGTTTGCGGCGGAAAGGGGTTGCTGGTGGATTTCACGGCGGCTGTGGCCTTCTTTGGGCGCCGACGTTGATGGGAAATGGAGGTTGGGTGGTGGCAATGAGGGTGGTTGAAGATGGAGTGGTGGCGGTGAGGTGGTTGGACGGTGGTCTCCACTAATGGAAATAGTAACGACATCAGGAAAATGGTAGTGATATCTAAAATTTTGGGATTTGGGTGGTAGTAAAATAAAATAAAAAATTAAAGCGGTAGTAAATGTGAAGCAGGGTGCTTTCGGTGGTAGTAAATGTGAAAATTTCCTTTAAATTATTTAATTCTAAAAGAAATTAATAATCTCATATTTGATTGGCTACCACTAAAATTTACTATCTTACGTGGTGTGCTGAAAAAATTAAATCTTACGTGACTTTCTAACCCTTTATATATATATATATCGTGCCATGCATGGTAATTTCAATATTTATCATTTATCATTAGTTTAATACAATTATATTACTATAAAAAATAATGTCAAATTGCAAAATAGGATGAAAGTTCTGTAATTACGATTTTTTTAAATCATTAAAGAAAACGGAGGAAGAAATGCTTGCACAACTAATAAAAATAACTATGGATTACATTACAAAGTTATAAATATTACATTATTGTATTATATGACTTTGTTCCCGTCATAAAATAAATAAATAAATAAATAAATCTTTGTTGAATATGTAAAAATGAATATACTTGTCAAATAGAAAAGAAATATTATTGTAAAGTAAGTATTAAACTAAATACTTCTTTAAGAAGTTTTGGAAAAAAGGAAAAAAAAAAAAAAAAAACCCTTTTGGAGGAAATTTTTTTAACCAGGTTATGACAAGTGTCATTTCTGGTTTCGCCTTTAATATAGGTACTAATTTTGTCCCCGTGCAAGGCACGGATTTATGGAGTATGATATAATAATACAATGGTCAATTGAAATAGAGTTAATTGAAATTAAATAATTTATGTAACACTTTTTTTATTTTTAAATTTGAATTTTATAATGTCTATCCTTTAAAAAAATTTTAATAGAATTTTTTTTCTTTTTTATTTTATTTTATTTTTTTATTTTTTTAAAAAATAGCATTTTGGAGGGAAAATTTTTCACAAAATTATGCCAAATGTCCCATTTGGTGATTACTTTAATATATAGTATAGATATTGATACCGGGTTAGGTAGAATATCAAACGCCCTCATGGTTATTTGTCTGTATGTCATTTGACCTTAAGCAAAGCCTATTTTTACATTAGGACCTTATTGTTAGTGGGCCTATTCTGTATCAATAATGCATTGGAGCCCACTAACAAACAATCTAGTACTTAGCTTTATCAACTTTTACCCATAAAATAACTTTGCAGAACTTATTATCAACTTATTTATCTTATTTTTGTTGAACTGATATTATTTTTATTGAACTAAAATTTTTTTTGTTCAATTTAAATTAATTATAGTGAACTGAAATTATTTTATTGAAATGAAATAATTTTTGCCAAACTAAAATTATTTTTACTATTCTCAATTATATTCTTTCTTTATAGTTACCGGATTTTTACTGAACTAAAATTATTTTTATAAGGTAATTGAACAGGGCTTTTTCTCGATCATGTTAATAAACATGATAAATATCTCAATTCTCAAAGGGGTAATTGTGTCTTTTTGAGTATGCAAGTGAGGTTTACTTAACTTGATATTCACCTAACCATATAACTCCACTTGACTCGGCATGAATTGTCCTTCTTGTCAGACCCATAAGTTCAAATTAAAGCCATGTTCACTTCAACTTAATTTTTGTGAACTTAAAATATTTTTACTGAATTCATTTAAACTGAGCTGAAACTATTTTTACCGAACTAAACATATTTTCACTAAATTGAAATTAATCCAATCTAAATAACCCGGTATCATAACTTACCAATCTGAATGACCCGATAGCCAACTTTACTATTCTACTAGTCGACACTACTATTCTACTAGTCGACACTAAAGAGCTCAATTCCTTTATTTGCCCCTGCAATAACGGCAGAGTGTGCTAAAACTTGTGAAGCTACATAGTCTCCACTTCAATCATGTGATTCTCATTTAATCTCCCTTTCACCCCTTAATACATCACCGCTCCCTATTCAATCCATTCACACTACTCCTAAATCTTACAATATCTCTTTTATAATGTCCCTTTCTTTTTTCCAATTTCTAACCATATTCTTCCTTTAGTTCCTAAGTTAGTCTACAAACATCTCATGAAAGACCTCTCTTTCTTCTTCCGTAAGAGCTTGATGGGTTCTAAAATGGGGAGAGGCATTCGCAACGTTTGCAACGACGACAACTCGACTTCTACTCTCAACCAAAAACAACCCTCCATAACACCAAGTTCCCAAGAAGTATCCTCTTCTACTTACATGGAAGCTGATCATGTGCCCCCTAGGAAGAGTGTTACCTTAGAAGAAATGATACTTCAACTCGAAATCGAGGAAGAAATTGCGAGGAAAGAAAAGGCAGGGTACTACAAATACAAAGAAGAAATGATGAACTTTCCTCGTAGGATGTCGTGTGTGAACAACTCCGACATCCTACGATCAGCCAGGAATGCATTGAATCAATACCCGCGTTTCTCCCTAGATGGGAGAGACGCGATGTATAGGTCTTCTTTTCGTAAAAGTAGTCCATCCCCTCGTGTAATCGACGGGCTTAAGCTAGGGAGGATGTTGCATTTGCCAAATAGTGTAGGAGGGGAGAATGTTATATGGTGCAAGCCAGGGGTGGTACCGAAGTTGATGGGGCTAGAGGCCATGCCTTTGCCTATCAGTAGTCTTTATAAAACTAAGAATAAATCAAAAATGGATACGAAGCAAAAGTTGTGCAACGCTATTAGGAATCAGAATTTGAAACGGAGGGAGAAAAGCGAGGCAGAGAGACGACAACAAACGAGGCATGTAAGGAAATCGGATGTGTGTTGTGGGGATATTAAGAGATTAGGGCGTGGTAGTAGTGGTGGTGGTAGTCGTTGTTCTTCCTCGAACGAGTATTGTGTTATGAACCCCATTGCTTTGGAGCCTGTATATGGTCTAGGAGGACCAATATCATGGCCAAATCCTTATAAATACACTTCACATTAGTTGTTGTAAAACTTGTAATCTTGTAATCGATGATCTAATCGTAGTTATTAGTTAATGACAATTTTTGTTGTCAAAAATTTGCCATGCTTACATGAATTTTGCTTTTGTAAAACTTGTAATCTTGTTATCGATATCATTCGAACCATAATTGTTTTGTCAAGATTCAACAAGGTATACAAAATTTGTATTGAAACATAACAAAACTTATATGAAAAAATCAAATCACATATTGAAGACATTGCCTTTATTATAGAAGTGGCGTTTGGGTTGATGCTTTTTTAAGGTATAATTTGGATTTGGATCCAGAAGAACAGATCAGCTAATCAAGTATTGGATAGTATTTCTTGATACATGTGTGATACAACAATTATACTCCGTATAACTTATGTCATGACATCTTTTGTTAATTGCTACGGAGTACTTGTATGTACTCCATAGCAGTAGAGTGTAGCACGATATGTAAGTTAAACAACTTAAAAACTTCTTTTTGTTATTGGTTTTATTTTCTTTATTTATGAAACAACTTAACAACTTTTATAAGTGATAATCTGATAATTTGCTCAGCAAATTAGAATTTCCGTTGCCAAATAGCACAAAATCTACCATCTACTAGAATTTAATTACTCCGTACCACTTAAGAAAACAATGGCAATCGACATTACTATGAATTTTAGACTTTCAGAACTTCATAAGTAAATCAAGCAAGAAAAGTCCATCAATTATAGTACTTGAATTTGTTCACTTGTAACACATTTACAACCATAGATTATACTACACACATTTATGCATATAAACCTAAACTGAAAGCAATTATCAAAGCTTTATTATAACACACTATATAGATGCATATATATGTGGTACCAACATCACTTTGAAAGTGATCTTTTATCTACCTTCATAATCTTTTCATCAACTAATCAACAATAAACACCGCGAATTACACCAAGAAACTTAAGAATCATCACCCAAATCTTGCAATTCAGTAGTAGCAAGCTTATTAACAAGAGCAAGAGCAATACTAGTAATATAACTAGCATTTTGAACCTTGTCACACAACATACTAATCTGCTTGTTTTTCCGGCCTCTTCGAACACCCTCGAAACCATTAATACAAGTGTCTTGATCAGTCAATGCAGCACTTAACCATGTCAAAACATCACCCATTTGCTCCTTAAACACACCACTACTTAACCTTCTAAGCACTCCTAGTGATTTATGAAGATCGTCTAGGGCACCTTGGATGCACTCCACACAATCAGCCAGAGCAGCCCTGTTTCGTGTCCCTCGAATATGACCGTGTTTTCTAGTAGTGTCAAGGTATTGTGATACTACCTTAACCTCGGAGATGGTTACTGACACACCTGCCCGTGCCCACCGGCTAGGACTCCGTTTCGCGTTGTTTGAGTACGAAGCCAAGGACTTAACACAAAGGTCTTGGTACCTTGTAACGCTACATGCTTCACGAACATAATTCGTACCATCAACAAAGGCGATGAATAATATTAATGTGAAAAATAAACAAAGGAGATAGAGATTAATGAATGGTTTTGAAGTAGATTGGATCATTTTTTTTTAGTTAGTTTTAATTTGAGTATAATTACCAAAAATGTAACACAAAATTAGAAATAAGGGTAGAGTTTAGCTTGTTTTTAAGGGGTGTGTTTAAAAGGGCAAGAGAGTGGTGAGTGTAATAAATAAGTGGAAAAGGAAGGGAGATGTATTAACATGTGAATGGGTGAAAGCAAGGATCTCATGAACTTAAAAAGAGTATGTTAGGCACTTAGGTGTGTCCATCAATGCAAATGCAGTTTCTGTCTCTTCATTAAAAAGATTACAGTGATATCTAATAATGTAGAGGTGTACTATTGTACTGTCAATAACTAAATATAGGATGTGAGGGACCCACAAAAACAAGTAACGAGAACATCAACTGAAGGGTTTGGATTGGTTTGGTTTCAAGTCGAGTCTATATGGGCCAGTTTGATATTGGTTATGGATCTTATACGGGTCGATATTATAGAGTTTTGGATCAGATCAGTTTTGAGTTGAATAAAAGTGGTTAGGGTTGATTTTCAATTCCAAATGTTGGAATTTTTAGAGGTTGGGTTCACATAGGGTCGTGTTAGTAACAAATTGTTTCATGATTCGGTTTGGAAATAGATGAGGAAGCTCATGTCAATAGTAATGTTTGACATGGGCTTATTATAAATGACAATAATAAATCTATACTTATATATCAAAAAGCGTTTTTAAAAACGTTTATGTGTCACATGTGCCACGTCACTACTCAATATCTTATAGCATTGTACCACATCACCACTCAATAATTCATAGCAATGTTAATTAAAAACACATATAGAATAAATATAGCCTAGATACAATCTTTGCTAGCTATAACTCAATTACATCATAAATTCATTAGTTCATACATAGTTAATAGTTTGTTCATAATTTATGTGGTCGACCAAAAAAGCATCGTTCTAATATAACGTTTAAATGACCTATTGGAAGTTGGATGATGAGTCAATCACAAATTGTACTATATCTTCGTAATAAAGACAACCTTTTCCAAACATCATTTTGGTTTAAGTCTCATTGGAGTGAAGAATTAGTTAAATTTATTTTCAATTGTGTCAAGTCTATCACAATTTAATTAGTATGACGGTATTACATATATTGCAATTTTAATCATATTTATTCTCGAATTGACCGGGATCAAACTCATCTTAATTCGGCTCCAATCAAATTAATGCATTCGTTTTAGAATAGATGACACACTTTGTTCTTTTGCATTATTTATTAATTTGTTAACTTTGATGGTCTACTTGTTTTTTTCTTTTTTGTCATTTTGTCAATTCCAGAATAATTGATATAGTAAAATTTGATACATATGTCAATGTACCTGTTTGACCTTAACTTTATAAAATTAAATATTAATAAAAAATAATTTTAAAAAAATTAATATTATAAAACTTTATATTAATACCTATTTAACGAATATATATATATATATATATATATATATATATATAATATATATATATATATATATATATATATATATATTTATATTTACTACCTCCGATTTTTTTTAGTTGCAACTTTGGGATATAATTTGAGAGATATAAAATATTCCAAAATTGCAACTAAAAAAAATCGAAGGTAATATTTATACTCCCTCCGTTTTTAAATACTTGCTTCACTTTCCTTTTTCGGCCGTTTTTAAATACTTGCTCCATTTCCTTATTTGGAAAGCTTTTACAATATTTAACTAATTTCTCTCACCTAGTGGACCCACCACATTTTTTCTCTCTTCTAATCCTTTCCACTACTTTTGCTTTTTACAATTTTTTATTCTTCCACTTGCCCCACTACCTCCATATATTATTAATTTTTCCAATTTCTCATAAAACTCCGCGCATGGAGAAATGGAGCAAGTATTAAAAAACGGAGGGAGTATGTCGCTAGAAAACAAGGTTTAGGTTGGAGTATATAAATAGTTACAAAAAAAAAGTCAAACATGTTGTAGGCGTCGCTCGAAGTGCGCCTACGTTAAAGCATGTGGTGAATATGCTTGGCACTCATAGGAAGTGGGAATTGACATAATACGATTAGGGACAAGGAAAGTAGGGAGCCGCCAACAAGTTTTTAAGGAACTTGTAAACCGTTCACGGATCATAAAAAGGCAACCACGATAAGGGACAACGATAGGCAACAACGATTGACCCGTGAAGGTTACACCCCATTCATAATCCATGAAATTACTAACTCCATATGGTTCGGAACCACGAAAGGAGGATCGGGGATGATGGTACAAAGTGAGTCATGGAGTCACAATCGCCCGAATTGGCCTCTACTCGATTCTTATAGTGAAAAGTGATTCCTGCGATCTCAAAGGCATACAATCAGAGATTTAATTTGCTCCAAACTATTATTAAGCTAAATTGGTTGAATATTAATGCAACACATAATTCTAAAATATTTGTGATCACTTGAATTAAGCAACAAGATTAAAAAGGAACCTAAACCGGTTGTCCAAATTATCTTATTAGGCGTGGTTTTCAATTACATATTCCCTTTAAACATGCAATATGGTGATCAATAAATAAGCATTAGTATTGGAAGCTATTTAAAAATAATAACGTTAGTCAAATCAAATAATAATAATAACCTAATCATGATGCTAGCAATAAGAATAAAAATAAGAGTAATTAAATTAATTAATTACTCACATTCCGCGCGTTCCTTTAAAATTGCTACATCATGAATATACCGTTAGTAACTTCAATAAAAATATAAATCAAATGAAAATTAAATTAAATTAAATTAAATAAATGTAGAGTTGATTTGGTCCAAACCCTCAGTTAATTATAACTTTCACGCCTTGGTTTAAGTATAGAACTTCGGGTATTAAATGGACTCCTTGGAGCGCTTAGGGGAAGTATTATGAGAGAATAGGGTGGCTAGTGTTTAGGCTAAAGAGGGAGAAGAGAATTATTTGATGATAAAACTTGTTTATCTTTGAAAAAGGGGAGATATGACCCCTATTTATAGAGAAAAAAAAGAAGGGTCGAAGAATTAAGATAAGATCCGAATTAAATCGGAATAAAACTCGATAGACTGCAATTTTGCGGTTTTTGTTTTTATCATATCTTTTGATCCAGAAATTGGAATAAGATGAATAAGATATCGTTGGAAATCTCTTGAAGTCTACTTTCTAACCCAATTAGTATCAGATTAAAATATTATATAGAATAAAAAATATAACCGAAATAGTGAGACGGTGTCGGTTTTGGATAGAGTTTGACATTTTATTCAACTGACTTGACCAAGTTTGACTTGACTTGACATGACATGACATGACATGTGTATGACTTGTGATTGTGTGTGTCTTGAGTGAGTGTGTGCACTGACACAAGCAATTAAAAATGCAAAAGCAAAAAAATTTCGTCATTTTTGTCATGAGTGGAGAGTACCGACTTTCTCCCGAGAAAGAAAGACGTGAAAAATGAAGTTTTGTTTTGAACTTCCCCAAAATAAAAGTCATGATAAGAAAATGGAAGAAGTTTTGAACTTCCTTGTTGATCAAGACGAAATGAATCACACGGATTTTCTTCTTGTCATATTGAACTGCCCGTCTTGAGTATAATGTATGCATGATGTATGTTCTTAGCTTAGGAGGCTAAGGACAATTACTTCATGTGACACGATAGATGAATGAACTTAGGTCATGGAGCTAAGCATTACATATGGTGTAAAGAAACGATCTTGAACGTTACTTAGGTTTGGAAGCTAAGAACGTATATAGATGAAGTGATCGATGAGTATCGCATAATGAATGTCACATAGGTCAAGGAGCTAAGCACAATATGCGATGTATGAAACAATGAACATTGCTTAGGTCTAGAAGCTAGGCAAGTATACAATGTCTCTTTTGATGTTGTCTTGAAAGATGACGAAACATGCGCATCGTTGAAGTAAGATTTCATGATAGAAGGTTCCTAGAAGGAAAGGTGATATGGATATGTATGTGTGAGTGAAGTGTGTGAATGTGATACTAAGGATGACTGCAAGGGTTATGGTGATGGAAATAGATGTGAGAAGAGTAAAAAATGATGACTCTTTAGGCTGGGTAGGCTAAATGATGTGGGTTCAAACCCCCAAGTCTAGCTCTAGATGGGTAGGGGTAAGCATTGGATATTCTTTGACTCGATCATGCATGGATATGAATATGAATGTGGCCGCACCTCGATGTAAGGTTGTCTACGTATCCGTTAGGAATCAGGCCGAACGTAGCTCTAACCGAACTTTGCACAAGTGTATGTACACCTCAAAGAGGTCTTTCAAGGGTTGTAATGTGGTTAAGTTGGTGGTTTAAGGAAGAAAGGGGTAAAAGGCTCAAGACCCGAGAGAAGCCCCCAAGATGTGTAATTGTGAATTTGAAAATTTTGAATTTTGCAAGTTTATTTTCAACATTTTTTTTGCTTTGATTTTTTTTTTCATTCTTTTTGAATCAATGTAGGCAATCTCAGATCATGCGGTCCATCACTCACTTAGCATTCATGTTTCTCAGGCACGGTACCGAGCACTCGATGAGAGACGCAATTTGAGACGTGTTCATATCAAAGACATTGGAACACTTGCCTTTAGACATTGTTTTATTGTTGCCTTGCTGCTTTTGTTTTTTTTTTTTTACTTGCTTTTTGAATGTTATACAATTACACATCTTCCAATCCCAGGGTTAAGTAAATGTGGGTTAAAGAAATGATGGCCAAACGTTAGACAAGGCTCAAAATGGTTGATGAAGAAATGGAATGTGATTGAACGGTTAACAGGGAATGACAGGGTTGCAAAGGTGCCTCAAGTCATTGGTGTACCTTGGATTTAGTTCAGTAATTGAATTATTTTTTTATTTTTTATTTATTTATTTATTTTGCGAATGAATTCGAATGTGTAGACACCAAATTTTGATCTTACCTTTGTAATTATCATAATTAATTATCTTTTATTTATAGTTATCGTTTTCTTTGCAAATAATTATTATTATTTTGCTAATTATTTTTATAAACTTAATGACGCCCGTTTTATTATTTAAAACAAAGAAAACGAGTAATAATAATGATTTTTATTCATAATTCCCAAAATATATGTTATTATTTGTACTTCTAAACAACTAAATTACAAAATATTGAAGTACAACTAACACTACATGCATTTCTATCCTGCTCCACCGAAGTAATTTTCGGGTTTTTACTTATGGATTAACAAGTAAATTAATACAGCCATTAGGAGGACCACTAGCCCCACAATGTACATGAAG